CACCCCCTTGGCCGGCTCCTTATCTCCGTTCCTGGATCCTACGCGGAACCCGCACCCGCACCGCACCGGACTGCACCGGACCGCACGCGCATCAGCCGCTAGTCAGCCACGATGGCGTTGCGACCGTCTCTCCCTCTCTTCACGCGCGGCTTGTCATCGCTGTCGCAGAGCTCCGACCCTAACTCGCCCAGCATCAGCTCGCCCGCCGAGCAGCGCGACGATGCGAAGCGCAACTTCCTCAAGACCATGCGCCCGCTGCCCACCCAGCACTACTGGAACGTCTACTTTGACCGCCAGCAAAAGGACGCCGCCCAGAAGCCCGACGACGGCGGCCAGTACCAGGTGAAGCTCGAGCAGCTCGGCACCCAGATTGAGAGCGTGCAGGACTTTTGGCGCTACAACAACAACACCCCCGTCGACCAGATCAGGATGCGCGAGAGCATCTACCTCTTCAAGTCGGGCTTCAAGCCCATCTGGGAGGACCGCCGCAACATCACCGGCGGCAGCTGGACCTTTCGCGTGCAAAAGTCAGCCGGGCCCGACATCTGGACCCGCGTGCAGCTGCTAGCCGTTGGCGAGAAGCTGCAGACGGCCTTGGAAGATGGTATATCACCCCCCCCCCCCCCCCCTCTCCTCACTGCCCCTGAGAACAATCGAGCTGATTAGTTGTTATCGCAGGCGACCAGATCTGCGGCGTGGGCCTGTCGGTGCGGTTCAACTCGCATCTCATCTCCATCTGGCACCGCGACTCGTCCAAGCAAAAGTCGATTGACGGCATCCTCAAGTGTGTGCTGGACGAGTTGCCGCAGGAGCTGCAGCCCAAGCCCGAGAACTACTTCTACAAGAAGCACGCCGACCACGCCGGCTTCAAGGCGCCCCCCGAGCTGCAGGCCGTGCTGGACTCGCAGCGCGCCCGCGATGCTGCCGCCAAGGCCAAGGCCGACGCCGATGCCGATGCCGCCGCCGCCGCCGAGCAGCTCCCCACTCCCCAGGAGCTGGTCGCACCCGCCATCATCGAAACGCCCCCGTCGGGAGGGCAATGAGAGTAGAAATAAAATACCGCTCGAGATGAGGTATAATGGGATATGTGAATGGAATTTAGGGAGGGGGTACATATATACATACCTATATAAGAAACGGGACGCCGAAGAAGCGGGCCCAAAAAAGACGCGCCAACAAAGCGCCACCACAAGCTATGAGAAGGGGGCAATCTAGCACTCGACATAACATCTAAAAAGGGGGTCAAAGGATTGGATCATTGCAAAAAGCAGTATCCTCTTCGCATGTTTTCTCCCGTTTTGCATATCTCTCGGCGTTGGGCCACTGACGGACCAATATCTCTTATCATGAGCTTCTGTTACCAAGTCCCGAGAAAGAAAGGCAGACAGAGGCAGAGGTAGAGCGCCCTTGAGTGGTGAAGTGCGTATCGGGGGTCCTATTTCCACTCCGGCGGGCGGGTCTGTTACTTCACTCGCCTTCCGCTCAGGATTTGCGGACGCGAGTCTTATCTGGTTAGCCTTGGAAACGCCGCAGGTAGTTCACAATAAGAAAGAAAGAAAGAACGAACGAACGGGAAATAAAAGAAAGAAACAGAAACAAGAAAAAAGAGGTCCCTGTAACAATTTCTCACTACACAACATCACTCACACTATTGTTCCCGGTAACAACCAGGATAGGCTTATGTGACAAGTCATGATTTGGGCACTTGGCATCTGGTAGTTAGTTTTCTAGCCGAGTCAACAGGCAAATATCACTCAAGAACCCGCCAGCGACTTAACTTCTACATGACGAAATCGCATAGATTTTACTGCGTACTACTAGGGGTGCATGTGTAGATAGATAGAGAGCATGGCGCGCCAAGAGGGAGGTAGACGAGAGAGATGGACTGCATGTACTTGGTACTGATGAAGAAGCCTCTTCGCTCACCCCCCTCAACATACCGTAGGTACGGTGTTTAGGTAGGCAATCTCAACGATGACACAACCAAACAAACAGGGAGGGTGATAAACACAAGCAAAGCAAAGCAAATGAAACGAAACAAACAAAACTAGCATGAGAACTTCATTTCCCCCACCCCTTCATCCTCCGGCGATCCTTTTTCGCGTCTTTTGACGGTAGAGTACGTATCGCACAAAACAAATTGAAACTATAATACTGGAAACGACGAGCCACACACGACCTGGCTCTGCGTCATTGAAGAGGAATGGATTATGTCTCTCTCCCCCGCTCTCTTTATTTCCGGGAAATGGATTGCAGGTTGAATCTGAGATTCTGCCCCATCACACACACTGCGCCGCTTCCTGTTCGCTCGGCACTTCCCCCCTCACCCGCACTCCAAATCATGCCGTTTCATTCAAATACATTATCTGGGTGCCCCGTCTCTTCTCTGGCTCTACGCCTCAGCCTTGCCTGCGCATATCGAGGGGTAATACTCCCCGCGGCCGCCCAGGAATTTGGTTTCTTAATGATGTGGCGGCGGGACGTGCGCGCGGACGGGGACGTGGGTGTGTATTATGTATAGTGTCTCGAGTCGAAACTCGAGCCGTTAATGACGGCCTAGAAGGGGGAGGCCGACCCTTCTGCAGGCTCTTGATTGTTTTCCCAGGTCTTGGGTCTGGCTATCCCATTATTGCGGCATGCTCCTTATCGGTGGCGGGTTCCAGGGCTGTTGAGAGGAGCATCCATGGGCTGGCGACTTTGCAGACCCTTTGGTCGTTGTATGAATTACCCGTGGGTCAAGCAGCACGGCCGCTAGGTTGCTCCGGGTGGGGCTCATGGTGCTCGCCGTCCGGTTTTCATCCCGTCGCGCGGCGACGTGAGCACGTAATATAGTCTCCGCCGTTGGCAGCAAGACATGCATGATACATAGGCGTATAAGATATATGCGAATGCGCAAACATGAATCTTTTTCCCAGCAGGGCCGCCATCACCTCCACACGCCGGCGCGGCGCATGACGTTGTCGAACTCGTCCTTCTTGACGCCGCGGCCGATGCCGCCGCCGCCGTTGGCCTCGAGGATCATGTCGCGCAGCAGGTCTTCGCTGATGTCGTCCTCGCGCAGCACGGCAGCCACGCGCTTGAGGTGGGCCATGGTGATAGCGGGGGCGTCGGCGGCGCCGCCGGCGAACAGGGCGAAGGCCTCGTCGACCTCGCGCGCGTGCTCCTCGCTCGTGTGCTCGCGCGCGTGCAGCTTGAGAGCGCACACGGCCACGAACGACGCGTACGTCGCGAAGCCCTCGTCGTCGGGGTCCAGCACCGATGTGAACTGGGACAGCTCGGCCTTGTCGCTGGGCGGGATGCCGAGGGCGCTGCGGGGAGGGGGTGGTCAGAGGCATGCCGCGCGGAAATGGGGAGGTAAGGCAGATGCACATACATCATGGCGCGGCGCACGTCGCCAATGGGAATGACGCCCTCCTTCTCTCCGTCCATGGGCTCGGCGAAGAGGCCAAAGGCCTCCTTGATCTCGGCCTCCTCGGCGGCGGTGATGTTGTTCTCTTTGGCAAGCTTGGACACGCGGGGTTTGGGCGCCGGCGATGACGCGCCGGCGTCGGCAGCCGTTGCGGGTTGGCGTCGTTTGGCAGGCTTCACGTGCACAGATGTCAGTAGTTGCGCGAGAATGGCCTTTGGAGAGGGAATCGGGCCTCACCATTTCTGCAGCTGTCTTTGTGGCTCCTCGTCTGCCGGCCTCAATCACGCAACGTCTACGGAGCAGTCCTTGGCCGCTTGGGCAGCAGCGCAAGAGATCCTGGCCAAACTATAGAGCGCAGGCTGGTTGGATATTGTACCTTTGCGATGTGGATCGTGAGCGAGAGAGACTGGAAGCTTGTTCGGAGGGTGGTGGGGTGGCCTCGTGTGGATGTGGACACTGGAAGCTGGTACGGGTACGGGCCCGCAGGGCTGTTAATTGGGTTCGCGACAAAGGCAGCGCCTGGTCACGTGGTCGCAAATTCTCAGTCCGGATCCAGAGCCTATAAAATCTGTGCCGAAAATTATTTCTCTTTCCCACTCGAAACTTTACCAGTTGGGAACTCACCAACCCAACAACAGCTAGGAAGACCACCAAGTGGCCAATGGCTCAAGATTCAGAATCTGGCCATTCATCATACGAGCAGTTGGATTTTCTGCCCACCCTCCCGCTTGTCCTTCCAGATCCCTTTCAGGGGGTCGGAACATTGAGAAGCAACGGGGAGGGCTCGAAAGGGTAACAACCAACAGGCCTCAATAAGAGAGGAAGTCCTTAATCGGGCTGAAGAACTCTTTGGGCCTGTGGACCTCTCCTTTCTCCTTCTATATTATCCTGCCATCCCCCCCAATTACCCCTACCCCGCCTTCGGGCAGCTTCATCATTTATGCTAGAGCTCGCCGCCTACCCAAAACATAACCCAGGGCGGCAGAGTGTGGACATTGAAGCGAGATTGAAAAAACGACCCTGCCAATGTTCTTCGCATTTGGCACGGTTCCGACTAGCTTACGCTTCGCCTGGACTTTTTTTCTCGATAGTCCTGGCGGTATGGGGCTTGTGGAGACATTGAATTATCCCCCTTTTTTCTTGTTTTGGTTGATGAATTGCTGCCATACCGGCACTATTCTGCTCCTCTCTATAGAAATAATGGAGTTCTCATTCCCTCTACTCTTGTTACTTTGTGTGTCCTGTATCTCTGCGTGCTTGACTCTGGTGTTTGCTTGCCAGTCGATTAGATGGGCTATAATAAGCGCTACGGCGATTGCTCCATGGTCGAGAGTGATGCTGCTGATGTTGCCGCCGGCGAAGATTTTCACTATTGCCCTAGCTGCCACGTATGTACGACGGCTACACGAGCAAGGACTGAACAAGACACGTCTTCCCGAAGGAGAACCAGGCCCGGGCATCTCGACGAGACGAAACTCAAGCATGTACGGGATATGCACATACAATCAACACGTCCCCTCAGCACCCCATCGTCTACATAGCAAGCTATCGTCGTCGTCAGTATCAAGCAAGCAACCAATAAAACAGCGAAGTGGCCATAGCTCAGTAGGGAGAGCGTCAGACTGAAGCCTCAACTTCACTCGTCCTATCTGAAGGTCACGTGTTCGAGCCACATTGGCCACATTTACCTCTCAATGCAGCTTGGGATTCGGGAATCCCAGTTTCTTTTTTCTTTTCCTTTTTTTTAATTTTTTTTTTTTAGTATGGTGCCGGCCTGCTTGCCGTGAACTTACGATGTATGAGACTGACTGAGTGATGGGCGGTTGCAGTGTTTTGCACGTTATCCCATTTCCTTTTCTTTTTTAGGTTGTCGAACCTCGAGTCACGGTGGGGTGTGCGATATGGTCAAGGACTGGGAGTCGATTCGTATTTGCATTTGTATTTGTACAGGTATCCAGCCAGCCAGCAACTAGCTCCGCCCGGCCGGAAGGAACAAGACCTCAGACTACAAGTTAGACTTTACAAGAGGACGGGCAGACATTTCTTCTTCTCTACAGCCACACCAAAGACATCAACCCTCGGGCTTTACGCAAAGAAGATGATTTGCAGCATTACGCGCCTCCCATGTCCGATGTGGGACGGGTCCTGGCCACCTACTTGAAATTGTTTTTCAGCTCCCTGAGCTTGGTCATGATAGCCACCGGCTCCGTCTCGCCCGTCACCTTTTGGATTTCCGGGTCCTGCGGTCTCATGAAGACATTGTGTTCCTAAGGGGCGCGTGGTCAGCATGATGGATGACTTGAAAGCTTTAACTTCACGGTGGCAAGAGACAACCAACCTTCTCATCGCCAATGGTAAACTTCCCCTGCGTCTCCTTGTTTCCGTCGGCAAAGGCGCTCAGCGCCTTGACGGCCTCGCTCTGGAGAACCGACAGGGCAAACTTTACGTTGGACTTGGTGTACTCGTGGCCCGGCTGCGTGGATAAGCAGCATGAGTTAGTATACACATCCGGGCCTGGCATTGCCGGTTCTCAAAAGACGTTCAGACCAAAACTCACAAATACTCGAGTGTCGTCGGGCAGAGAAGCGAGCGTCACGTTGAGTGCCTTGTGCATCTCCTCGCCGTTGCCCTCGAAGAACTTGCCACAGCCTGGCAGGAGCAACACGGCGTCAGCAAAACAACACAGCGGCGGTAACATGTCCCACGGGACAGAGAAACAAGGGAGGGGGACATACCGCCGTGGAACAGCGTGTCCCCGGTAAAGACGACCTTGTCGTCGCCGTCCTGCATGAACCAGCAGATGCTGTCCTGGGTGTGGCAGGGCGTGTGCAGCGCCGTGACGGCGATGCTGCCGATGTTGAACGTGTCGCCGTGCTTGGGCGTCTTGGTCACCTGCTGGCAGTCCTTGCCGCCGATGATCTCGAGGGGTTCCCCTGCCAGCTCGCCGAGCTGAGATACGAGAGCCCGGCGTGGTCAGCAGGAGCGATTACCTTCCTTCGGGGATTCACGCCCCAACGACAAGAAAGACAGAGAGAACCACAGAGTAATGTTGGTCGCGACTCACGAGGTCTTTGTTCCCGCCGGCATGGTCCCAGTGGCTAGGCAGAGAGAGGTCAGCCAGCCGTCAGCCAGCCTTGCTGCACAGAAGAGCAGACACGACGTACTGGTGCGTGTTGACAATGGCCGTCAGGTTGATTGTGCCGTCCTGGATGGCCTTTTTGAGAACGGGGGCAACTCTATCCGACACCGACCATGCGATGTTAGCGAGTTGCGATTGCTCTGGTGGAAAACACAGGGACAACATACTCTGACGGGTGTGCCGGATCAATAATAACAGCATCCTTGGACTTGTCATCGACGACCAGGTAGGCGTAGTTGTTGCTGGAGCCCACCCCTATTCATTCCGGACACGACAACGGAGTAAGTATCAGCGGGCCAACCAGGCCGAAGGTGCAACAGAGAGAACTCATGAGCAAACATACACATGGGGATCGACTGGATATGCATTGCGCGGATTACAGCAGGCTTTAGTTAGGGAACGGGAGGTTAGCACCTGGCGGGATGAGAGCAAGCAACACTGTAAATGTATAGCACCTGACGATGGCAGACGAGGGAACACTGGGAATGCGAATGAAAACGGGGTCCACTCGCAATTCGTGCGGGGGCGGTGCTATTGGTTTGAGGCCGTCGTGTTGGAATAAAGAGACACCTTCGGGCAGCCAGGGCATTCATCTGGAACACAATACCCAAGGTAAGGTAAGGTATGTGTGCGTTGAGAGCGGCGATGAGGGGAGACAGACACAAGTCAAGCCGTATTAGTCAGGCCGGTTCGGATCGGATCGTGGATGGGGTCTGCACTACAGAGTATGCAAGCAAAGAGCGAGATCCAATGGTGTGGTGCGGGTGCGTGGGTGACGTTACTGATACACAGTGCAGCACATTCACCCACTGTATATGTCACAGGCAGGCAGGCACGTGATGGCCCCGTCCATCAACAACACCAACACTCTCAAAGACAAGAGACATCATCCACAGCTAGGCATATTCATGGCTGAAATACACCGGCGGGGTATCACGGGAGACAAAAACACTGTCATAGAAACTGTGCAATCAATGTCTTCTTCATTCAGACCACCCCGATGGGCTTGGGCACCCAGTCGTCTTCCTCGTACAGCGACCAGCTCGGCGGCAGCGGCGCTTTGGGAGGCGGCGAGGATGCTGGTCGATCCGTGTGCTCTTCTTGCATCGGCCCAGAGTCCATATCGTGCCGCTCTCCCACATCCTTGACCTCCTGCCATGTCTTGCCCAGCTCTGCCCTGATGTGCTCAATGTCTCGCGAGAGGTCATGGCCGTGGTCGAGCTCCATGCCACTTGATGTCGCCGGTCTCGCCGTCCCCTGGGGCGTAGCAGCAGCGGGGCTAGCTTCCAGCAGTTCCCGCGCAAGCAGAACCGACCTGCGCAGGACCCTGCTGTCGGTCGTGCTATCCGTGATCGAGTCCAGCGTGGTCAGCACCTCGGCTTCGTCGAGCCTCTGGATGTCCGCCAGCAGGGCCGCCCTCGTAGAGTCCTGCTCCGGCGCCGTCTCGAGATACCGCATGACCAAGCCGCGGCATTCGCTGTCAGAAGAAGAAACGGCCAGTCGGCTGCTATCACCATCTGACAAGGACGCAGCGGCAGCGGCAGGCTCGGGTAGCAGCAGCAGGTGCTTCCAGTAGTAGTCCCAGATCCAGTCGAGGGCCAGTCTCGCGGCGGCGCGCAGGCGCGTCAGCGACGGCAGCTGCTCGTGCGTCGCCTGGTGGCGCAGCTCGACAAACGTCGCCGGCAGCCCCACGCTCTTAGCCACCCCGTACATAGACATTTTGCGCTGCTTGTCTTGGTGGCTGTCCAGGAGGCCCGTGACGAAGCTGCCGGGGATGGGTTGGTAAATCAGCAAACGGACATGGACAGAAATGACAAGAGTAAAAAACATACCGACTGAACGCGGCCGAGTACGCCGCCCGCACCGCGTAGCTGCTCGACGAAAGCGCCGACCCGGACCGGGAGCCCGACACCGACACGGGTCCGCCGCCGGCCAGCCAGTCGTCCGCCGCTGCCGCCGGCGATGCCACAAGCTGCTGGTCGCCGAGGATGGCGGCCGTCAGGAGCGCCGTCGACTCGACCATGTGCGGGCAGTTGCCGCGGTGCATCCACACCGACACGCGGGCCACGGCGCGCTGCTGGTTCTGCTGCCGTTTGGTATGGGCGTCGCCATTCTGTGCTGGTATTGTTTGTCGTTGTTGGCTATCGTCGTCGTCTTTGTTGCGGTTGGGGTAAAACTGTTGCCGGACCGCCAGTAGCTCCCCCCGCTCGCGCCACGGCGTGAATATGTACTGCACCATGTCTTTTCCTTTCTTGGTGTTGACGTTTGGGGTTTGAGGCCCCCCGCCCAAAAAGCAATCTTGTTATTTTTTTTTTTTCACGGGCAGATTTCCCCGACTTTCTATTTCGGGATGGCCGTTAACGTGCTTGGGTTGATTTAAGATTTGAAGCCACTGCAAAGAAGATTTTGGGGGTTTGGGGAGGTTGGTGAATCTAATTGTAGGTAAGGTGCCGCGTCGGTTGAGCGTGCGGCAACTGTAAAATTTTGATGCGAGTTTGGCGGGCAACGGTGTTTACGCGTGTGTATTCATTTCACAAATTCGCATTACCCACACCAGCAAACTAGGTGTTCTGTTTCTTTCGTTGAATTCACTTTCCTCTCGGGCTTTTTCTACAAGTACACCGTACTTTTTGTTAAATTTCTTTTTGGCGCTGGGCGAGAATGCTAGATGCAATCTCTCAAGTCCACAAGTCTTTTATATAGGTATATCAAAGTCTGACATGTAGAGGTACAGTCTCGAAAACAAACTCAATAGATCCAACCGGACACAGCCCAAGTCCTTCACTGTTTGGGAAATCCGGTTCATTCTACCGGTACTTCAAGTAGGCAAGTAGGTACGGTCCCTTAAATAAATGACTCTTGCAATTCAGGATGCGTCATTTCTTGTTGTTTGTTGTTATTATTCAGCACGGTTTAGTATATTAAAAAATCCACTTCGAGCCTAAAACGGTGCAAATGCTTGGATCTTTGCCAACGCTGAGGATTTCAAGAGGTATGCTTTTATCACACGTTTTGCGGAGCATTTAAGCCCTGCCGCGCCGCCATCGACCCTCAACCCAACAACCACGTGTGCTGCCGCACAGCTCCACCGCCCCCACACCCGGAGCTTTCGAGCTAACCTGCTTATCTAAGCGGCAACACCAAGATAACATTGCCCCTATTTACAAAGTTCGCTTTGCAGTACAGACAGAAGATGTGATTCCACAACATTCACTCTTCAGGATATAGAATTAAGAACGCGTATTGGGCTCAGGTGTCTCTTTGAGTCTACCAACTACCAAATACTTTTTAGGAATTAATATCGACACTTTCCCTGGCAAGCAAACTGCCGAATAGGGCCACGTCTTGAGACGGAAACCTCTGGGGGTGTTGACTAATGCGCCACCAGTCCAGTCGCTGTCCCGTAAAAGAAAACCCCGGGTATCTAGTTTTATTCCAGTTGCCTGTGCCACATATATCCCAAGCGCCAGTCCTTGTCCGTTGAAATCATTTTATGTCGTAATAATCGTACACCAAACTCCGTCAAGAAAGGCTCGAACGTGTC